ACACACACACACACACACACACACACACACACACACACACACACACAGAGCGCATTTTCCCGCACCAACACATCAATGTGAAATACAACTGAGAGCTACCATGTTTCCCCATCACAGGGCACGTTTCCCTGTTAAGACGCTGCCGTCCTGACAAACTAGTTCCAAAGAAACGTGTTGCCAGGGCTCACAGATAACAAGCGTCATATTATGAAAATTGGAAAACAACACGGCTGTCTCTTTTGACCTGCCCTTTAGCCTGAATACAGTAATGAACTCTTCTCCACAGGAAGTCCAGAGAACAAACAAACGCTCGCTCTGTGCTGCTCAGCACCTTGGCAGAAGCTGGACGCTGTTCTGTCCCAGCTTTGTTCACATTTGAGTCCCCCTTTACTCCCCACAGTTCTGAGAACAGTTGGTATGATTCTTCTATACATTTCACCCACCATCTCTCATTTTTATAACTGTATAGTGCTTTAAGTAATCAGTTGCACCTCTCCAGACAGCTAATCATATAGTGTCACATAGTTTGCATCACTTAGTTAATTCCAAATAACTAAAAAGGTAATTGTCTTAAATGTGTCATCACAGTGCGTCGTGATAATTACCAAATATGACTCTTCACAATTACTAACACTGCCTCATCATCAGTCTATTCACTTCCGCCAGACACCAAACAAAGCACTGAGTCATCGGCAGTATCTCGGCCACCAAAAGAACAAAGCAGTAACAACAACAAACTGTTTGTACCAAAAGACACAAGATAGGAAACAGAGGTAGGTTGACAGTTTCAGAAAGTATTCCCACACCCTTCCCCCCTGTGATACTTGCCCCACTAGACATTTTCAAAAAACTCCCGAGTCATTTCTCCCCACACACAAGCCCATAAATATGTGCGAAACTTGGCAAAACGTGAGGCCCTATGACGTCAGCCTGCTGTGCTGCAATGCAATACAACAGGAAGTTGTGTAATGGGAGGCGCTGCCTTTGAGGAAACAGATCAAAAACACCTCGATGAATGAACAACAGACAGGAAGTTCTAGATTAGCCGGGTAAGAGGCCTCCTGTCTGTCAGTCCTGCCCTGACTGTTTTACAAATCGCCTGCGTGACTGATACCAGACCCGCCAGAATAGAAAACAACACAGCCAACAACTACCAGAACCATATTTCCCTTCTAAACAACTTTCGGCCCTGTCGCGCTGTAACATGCGAGCTGCTTGCTGGTGTTGTTGTGAAGCTCGTCTACATTCTGGTCACGGACACAAACAGGACAGACGAGCTTAATGGTCCAGGAGAGACAGTTGGCAGTTGTTTAAGAACGTCCTGTCATGACAAGTTCCCTTAAATCTTCAGCTGCTACCCCCCCCCCCCCCCCAACCCCCAACCCCGCCCATCTTTATCTGCCCCTGCATGCGATCACTGACGTGTCAGCAAAAGGTTTTCCTTGGAAAAGCCCACAAGGACCTTCTGTGTCACGTGTTCAACTGCTGACTGCTGAAAAATGCCAGACATGACTGACCCGAAGGTTAGTAAGCGTGTAGCTGAACAGGAATTTGTCTTTGCATGTGATCTCCAGTATCATTCACTTTAAACCCAACACCAGTTCATTATGCTGACAGCTACATTTGGACTGTACAAGTTGAGCTACACATCCATGCCCCCCACAAATCTTGGACAAGGTCTTTGAGTAAAAGCAGCTCCTCAAATGAAGGATATAAATTTAAAGTGAGACAGAAAAACAACATGAAAGATAAAACGACAAGGACCATAGCTGCTAACAAATTGACCGTGAACTGTTGACTTTCTGACACAACGGATAGTGGGGCTCAACTGTCACTGTTAGGCCCAGCTGTCAGACAAACAGCAGGCATGTTAACCTGACATCTACCAAGACCTCTCACAAACCTGAGATAAGGTAGGACGTAAAATCTTTCACTATGGCATGAATAAAGCGCATAAACATGATTAAATTAGGTATTTTAGAGAGAAAAGCACACATGCTGTGCATGAAATATGACTGATTGTTGTTAATGTTGGTGTCTATCACCAAGTGGAGCAACTCATCCAACCACCTTGATTAATCTATAGCTAAATCACTGCTTAGCGAGCCGAAATGTCAATTTCATGTAAATATGATATATATTGTGAAATACTGAACAGCTGACAGGGCAAGTTAGGGGGTTTCCAGCACAGGACAGATTACCAGCCACAATCATTCACCACCAACTTCCTTTCACAAAAAAAAACTATGGCAATAAAATGTGAAAACTGATCTAAAAATGGTTCTGTTTGGCCTCTAAGCGGCAGACTATTGAACCCAGTTCAAAACAACATAGCTGTGAAAACCTCTAGCAAACCAAAGGGGGGATACAGTGCTCCTGTATCAGACACAGGTTTAACGTTAGCTCTCATTTCAGGCCCTGCTGGGCTGAAAACTACTGAGTCACACTGAAGGGCAGAACAGGAAAAAGCCCACTGTTTAGTTACACACACCGAATTTATTCTCCTTAAAAAGGACACAATGTTACAAATAATCACCAGAGAGAGCGTCAGCAAGACAACAGCACTGATGTTTAGTGAAATAACCTACAGTCTAGACAGTGAGGTCTCTGCTCCCTTTGTTTCTTCTTTCTTCCTTTGTCTGCCATCTCTCTGCTTCCTGTTTAGACATCGTTGTGTAGCTCCCCCCTTTCTCGCATCAATTCTACTTATTTCCATTTTCTACGTGTTTTCAACGACACAATGTGAACAACCTCGACTATATAAATCACACTTAAGTACTAAGAAACGACTTGGTGGAGCCACATAGCTCTCAGCACCGAGCAAACCTTCGTTTTCTTCCGAGCTAAAACTACACAGATGTACCGGCAGGTCATTTAATATTTAACTGAATGATCTGTAGTAATGTCAGAGCAACTCTTTCGCTCTACTTGCACATTCGGCTTATGAATTTTCTATTTCTAGACAGGAATTAGCTGGCTTTGGTTCCCCATCCCCCAGCTCGGGGCAAATAGAAAAACAGAAGAGACATCAACCAGCACTAGCTAGCTCCCTCCCTTGTTTTCCCCCGAAACCAGACGGAGTCACGTTTGAGGGCTTGTGATGTTTCCAGTCAGGAGGAGGAGATGGTGGTGGTGTTGGTGGTCACAACTTCAACGAGCCCAAAGACGAAAGAAAAGCGTTGTTTACCACACAATACCACCACACATATACACCCCCCTGACCTTTCAATCCACCGGTAAAGGTCTCTGTGACCGACCGTCAGCCTAGTTAAACACCCCTCTTTTCGTTGTTTACCTCCACAAGCTGAGCTCACTTCAAAATTCATCCTTAAGAAAAAAAAAGCAATAATCCAAGATCATCACCTGCTAAAAAACGATGTAGTTTCTCGCGAGACGACAGGAAAAAGTAGCCGTTTGTCCTGGCGGAAGAAAAAACCGGTCGAAGGGTCCAGGTCCTGGTCCTCTACTCTTTCTACTTGTATTTATGTGGCGGTGTCCTTCGTGTCAGACGGGTCTAGGTGGGTTTAATGCTCCCTTCCTCGCCCTCCTACCTCTCTCTCTCTCTTCCTCTCTCCGTCTCCCGTTCCTTCTGGATAGACGTTTGTTTCCTTCTTTAGTAAGAGGAGTGGCGGATGATGTCACGGGTAAAACTACGTGTCTCCATTGGCTGACAGCGGAGCCCCCGAGCGCTATGTACAGTTTTGCGAGTCGAGGGAGGGTTGTCGGTTGTGCGCATGCGCGCAGTCAGTGTTGCATTATTACACATCTCTTCGTCATCCACCTACAAGGCCACGAATCTGTTTTATTGAGTAATACACCTAAACGAATGCATCAGTAAATATAAGTGCTGACATGACAGAATTGAAAAAAAAAGTATGATTATTAAGAGGATGTTCTCCTGGGAATGCCTCTTTGTACGATATTCTCTATCTGTGAGAGGGCACTATTTCTTGTTGAAACTGCCTCGCCCCTCCTGCCACCTAGTATGATTATTTATGTCAGGGGAACAAAACAAGTACAGATTTATAACCACAGAGATATACAACCCTGTTTGTTATGGGAGAGGTTGACACCCTACCTTCCCTCCCGCACACCAACATGTTTTCCGTGAGGTATCAACAGACAAGAGCCAAGCAGTAGGGTGGATGATACCACAACATTTAAAACTGATACCAAGTCTAACTGGGGCCAGAATCACAGATATTGCTACCAATATCAATACTTTTTTATAATTACAATTGGTGGATGTGATATCATACATAGGCATGTACATAGGCTGGTTCTGAATACATTATCATTCATACTCTGTGATTTGTCAAACTTAAGGCATTTCTTTTTTTATATTATTTTCTTTATCTGTAAATGCATGTCAAAAAAGCTTTTTTCAATTCTGATTATAAATACAACCCATATTTGATCAGGTCAACTCAAATATGTATAATGTGTTAAGCAACCTTTAAGGTTTTACAGTTAAACAAATTCTTATATCCGAGCATTTCAGGCTAAAACCATATGCTAAAATAAAGCAATTTCTCATTTCTCCACCAGAATTATTTTCTTGCATTGGGAGGAATGCTATTTTAACAGTTAAATGATTATACAAAAAGTGTGACAAGAAAAAACTTCATGTGGAGGTAGGATTAAACATGGGGACATTGGAGTATTTCTAAAATCTTGGCTATACAGCCCTGGTGGGAAACATATTTCTTGTGGTACACTATCATAATCTGGCTGAACTGCCACTGAAATTCTAACATCAAACGATCATCTGAGTTCTTTTGTTCTATCAAATTTGACTTTGGCCTGCTGTTTATAAAACCAACAGCCACCAGATCATATCATCATACTGGCTGTGTTTTTGTGAAACGTGAAAACATGTTCCTTCCACTCAAATGCAGTGTGTCGTGTGTGCTGTATAGTTTGCCCTGCAGGTTCAACAGGTCCCAACGTATCCCCCCCATCTTGTCAGAGTAACGTCACACACATGCAGGCACTACAGGCCACACTCAGCAGAAAACAAACACTCGGGGTAGGGCCTTGTGGTGTGTGCGTGTGTGTGTATTTGTGTATGTGAATTTGAGGGAACGTACTATCATCTATCAGTGAATGGATTCCTGGAAACTTAGAAGGCTAGTACAGTCTGGAAGCCATTGGGTAATACAGTCTGTTCGCTCCAGTTCAAACCAGAACTCATGTGGAAACTGGAAAAAGTTTCAGCCGAGTGAAAGTAAAAGTAGCTGCTGTTGCTGCTGATCTTCCCCTAGCTTTTTTAAGGGGAATACACAGACACACACACACACACACACACACACACACACACACACACACACACACACACAGTAATTATTTCAATATCACAAGACATTAATGTTGTCTTGCTTTGACAACACTGAGTTGATTTGCACACAATTTACAACAAGGTATCAGGGGAGGGTCCTCAAAAACCAGGAGCATTATCTGCTGATTAAAGTGACGCTGTGATCTAATAATGTAATCAAATGATGGCAAAGGGGTGAAATATTGACAATAGACAAATGTGAAGAGTGCTTGTGAAAGCTCATCATGTGGCATTTTAATGCAAATCATCCTCCATGTAACATACACAGAAGCAATAGTAGTGGTTCCCTTATTATACTGACATAAGGTTTCATATGTGAGTCAAGAAGGCACAGGGAGGGAGGGAGGGGGAAGTTAAGGGGAAACCAGGTCTGTGTTTTACACTGAGGTCTCTGTGTGTGTGTGTTGTGTTAACGCAGCCCTGTACAGAGAAGCAGAGAAGAAGGCGCATGTGTATGTCTGTTTAGTATGTGAAGGTTCATTTGTTTCAGTGAAGGGAGGGGGCAGCTGAGCAGAGAGTGGGAGGTGTCGAGTATCATTACCCATCCCCCGTGCTGTCATAGCTTGGTTTCTATAGTGTGTTTGTAGGTTTTGGTGCCAGTACTGAGTGTGTGTGTGTGTGTGTGTGTGTGTGGGGGGGGGGGTTAGGTGGTGCTGGTGGCTGAATTAAAGGGGGAGTGGGCCAATAATTCTTTTGCACGACCACGACAGGCACATGCGAGGAGCTGCAAGTGACAATGTTGCCATGATAAGCTAATGCTTTTTGTTACCTTTCAGTCTGTGCTTGTGTGTGTGTGTGTGTGTGTGAGGATTACTTATGAGAATCTGGAACAGCCTGTCTGTAGTTACTAGGCAGATATGGGCCCGACACACACACACACACACACACACACAGATGCACAGCTTGCCTGTGTCTGGCGTCTGTGTGGTGAGACACTGTTGATAAAGGGGCTGGTGGTGGAAATGGCAGCTTAGCCATTTACATAAGCTGTGTGCGGGGCTTGATAAGCTCTGCACTGAGGCTGACTTAAACCATTGCTTCAAAACTTGATCCCCCACCCCATCATCCCCATCATCGCCCCTCATTAAAGGGGCGATGATCTATGCGTGTGTGGGTGGTAACACAAATAAAGAGAAACATTTTACAAACAGAGGGTGCCTGTCTGTGTGATTCTGGGGAGATCAGGGACATCTTTGTTGTAAATCCTTGCTACTTTAAGTTCCATTTACACTGTTGTTGCTGTAATTGTTGAGGAAACACTAGGTGAACACACTGGAGGAAACATGTGACGTAAAACACGCCTGGGTCACATATGTGCAAAAGTGTCAAGAAGCAAATTATTAGGTGTTCTAAAAGAAGCGAAAGAGAATTAAAGCAATAGAGAGATGAACAGAGAAAGAACAACAATCGGATCAAATGAATGTAATCTGCTGAATCAGCACTGATTGACCATTTACTCCCTCACTCATGCGGCTACACAACTCCTCTACATCTCTCATGAATGTGTTTCTTGTTATTTCTGACCAGGGAGGAGTACCTCCAAACTTTCCAGCACACGCTAAATTGTCTTAACTCCCCTTTTTCCTTCCCCCCCCTTTTTTTCGCGCACACAATCCTCACCGTACATGGCTTTCTCGATGATTGTTGTATACACACGGTGTGTGTATAAATGTTTGTGTGCGTTAGTGTGGTTCTTGTGGAAAGTTGCAGAAAGTTGGTGCATATGTTTGTAATGAGTGTTGATGTAGTTTTGGAATAATTAGGTTAGTTGCCAGTTATAAATATATATGCTGCTGTGCCTGTGGGTTTCTCCTTTGCAGCTGATACATGAGACTCTGTAGTTCGCATGCCTGCATGAGGTGAACAAATGTGAACCCTTGCATGTGGGTTTGCGAAAGAGAGAGAGAGTGTGTGCGTGTGTGTGTGTGTGTGTGTGTGTGTGTATATGTGTGTGCAGCAGATGTCCTGTGTTCTGTTCTGTTCCCCAGACTGGCTGGTCTTTGTTGCTGCTCCCTCGTGCAGATGGGCCTGGCCACGTGCTTATCTGTCTGCAAGAACATGCCACGCCTCCGCCGCTGTAATCTGTCAATTGCAGCGGCCAAATCCCGCCCCTAACAAAACCCATCGTCTGACAGGGTCCGCCTCCTTGCTTGATGACGCTGTTTTACTCACGCATACTTATCATGCTCTCTTTTTCTCCCTCACTGAACCCCTCACTGTCTGTCTGTAGCTGTGCCTTGAACAATCTGGGTCCGTGTACGTTTTAGTCATCTGTTTTACCGTTAATTCGGAAAAACCAAAATACGGAAATACCATGGTGTTCTCGTTTTTCGTTTCAAACCAAAAACGGAAATGGGCGGTCGTATTTCTGTTTTTGGTTCTGAATTAAAAAACGGATAAACCAATAACCAAAGTCAAATAACGAGCCGTATTTCGTTTTTGCAAATCCCTTTTTTGTTTTTTCGTTTAAAACGAGACGCAGAGCACAACAGGTAACCCGGAAAGAAGAATATTTCAAAATAAAAGTGAAGGCAATATAATGACCGTATGCAAGAAATTAATACATTAATTAATTAATCTGGGCCGATGGGAGTGCGTTAGCATCAGTAGTTGACTACATGCTGTTTAATATTAATTTACACAGCATTAATCAACTTTTCGATTAATCGGTGCATTGTTTGATGCAATACAGTTCGTGATATAGTTTAATCAGTCATTTTTGTGTTCACATAAATGTTGCTCTTGGCACTGATATTTCTTTGTTTTTCATGCATTTGTTCTTATCTTACCATCATACATTACCGTACAATTTTCTGAAAGAAAGTTTATTTTACTGTGTGAGATTTCTGTGCCTCATCTGAGAAACATTTACAAACAGAAACATAACAACCCTCCATTATAACTTTACCCAAGTTAGTGAGAACAAGACCAAATGCAATGCATGCTGGGAAATGTGCTAACAACCTTTCTGAACAACCGTGGTTTGATGAGTTCAGTGTTCAAAGTTCTGAAATGGTTTTGTACTGAATCAAAACTAGACGTTTTCTATATTTAGTTTTTTATTTTTTTATTTATTTTAAAGGTATATATATCAACAGTGCATAACTTCTACTGTCACAGTAGAAGTTATTAGATTATTAGAACATCTGATAACTTCTACTGTGCCTACTATCACAGTAGAAGTAATTAGATTATTACATCATCTGGTAGAAAAAAACATCAAAATGCGTCCCA